TGTCCCTGCCCCACCTGGTGATAATGTCCTGGTCATTCCCTCCCTAGCTCCAGATTCATCCTGTCTTCCTGGGCCTGTGGGCTCAGATCCCACCCTGTGGCCTGCAGACGGGTGAGGCTGAAGGTGTGTATTGGGGTGGGCAGGGGGACCTCTGTGGAGTTGCTAACAGATACCTCTTTGCACAATCCTCAACTTCACCTCCCAGCTTTGAGAGAGCAATGGAGGGTCTGGTGGGTTGGAGGAGTGGGGCTGGGAACTAGGACACCTGGGGTCTCTGGAAGGGGAGCGGGTTTTGCGGTGGTGGTAGGAGCAGGGAGCCTGGGAGCCAGGACACCTTTTGAATGAGCTGCTCTGCTGTCAACTCAGCTCCATGCGTAACTCAGGGGAGAAGGGGAGCAGTTCCCCTAAGCCTTCTAGCAACTCTCCATGCTTTTTGATGAATATGCCTCTCTTGTCAGCAGTGTTCAGCCAGGAGCAGGGGGCTCCTTCCATGCAAGGGGCTCCCATGTGCACACACACAGGTAAACTAGCCTCTGAGGCAGGCCTGGCTCTTGGTTCATGTGATGCAGGGGTTAGCTTTGCTGTGTGGCTTCTTCCGAGTTACATTCTGGAAATCCAGGCCACCTCCTGCTTTGATTTCTGTCCAGTCCAGCCAAATGGATTAAACCTCCTGGCCCATTTATGCTGCATCTTTTACAGGCACCAGCAGCTTTAAGCAGGGTAGGACAGACAGGTGGGACACCTAAATTATTAGGTTGGGTATTTGCTGGCAGCTGGCCCTGTTGGCAGACTGCACTTAGTGATGAGAGGTGTGGGAGATCTCTATGTGCAATGTGTATGGGGAGTGTGTAATTTCTGACTATGTGCATGACTTGTATATATGACATTGCTGGCATTTGCCTGTAGGCATGGGGGTGCATGAACATGCTTACTACAGGGAAACTCAGGTTGGAGCTGAGGCCTGTCAGGGCAGGGACAAGTAAATCAACCTTATTGCAGAACGTTCCTAATCCCTTTACAGTGAATACTCTAGAGCCAGTGGGACTTGGGGAACGGAGTCAGGGAGAGCAGGCTAGGCATTAGTATTAGCCCAGTGTTGCTGGGACCTGGGTTATGTTGTGATGCACATTGCCCATGCCAGCCCCTTTCTATGCCACGTCACGCTATGCTGTTACAGTGCCAGACCAACATGTAGTGATGTGAGGGCCAACCCAACTGGCCATTGTGACTGCTTTCTTTTGGGGCTGTGCCATGTTCCACTCCACAGGGCCATCCTTCTGTGCCTCCCTGCATGGCATATGCATGTGCTTAGGATACATCTGCACACCCTGTCCATGTCAGCCTCAGTGCCAGAGTCCTGTCTCTGCCTGCCAGCTCCTCTGGGCTCTGCCCACATGGACATGACACTGACCCCCACTGGGGCCACATGGGTGCTGCAAAAGCTCTCCTGACCCCCAAGGCCAGCAGAGACCCACCTACCAGAAAGCCTGTTGGTGCCAGCTAGATTCCACATGGTTCCACCTCCTACCTCGGCCTCGTCTGCACTGGGGTTTTGGCACTGCCCCCAGCACACCCCCTGCACTGCACCGTGTGAGCCACGACTGGCCTCTGCAAAGTTGCCCCATGTCACCTTTTACCCGAGGGCAGCATCACACACCCTGGAGGTTTGCACCGATGGAGCTGTACCCGTGGTTAAAACCTTGCAGCGTGGCCAGGCCTGTGGAATCATGGCCATTTGATTCAGGTCTCCCCCATCCCCTGGAAGCCCCTTGTGCCGCTATCATCCATCTGGTGAGAAAGCAAGTAAGACGTGCATACATGGAGTCTTAAAACATGTTTATTGTCATCTATGTCTATGCAAGAGAGTACAGGCTGCCAGAAAGAGAGGGAGATGCAGCCTGTCTGCTCCGTGGGTAGGGGTGGCTCTGGCTGAAATAGATAAAAGTATGCGCGTCCCGTGCAGGGTTAGAGTAACATTTGCTTGGCCTGCAAGACCACAGGATGGAGGTGAGGAGTGGACATGCTGTTTAGAGCTATCTGACCACCTGCCCTGAAGCAGAGGGGCTGTCTGTGCCCTGGCCAGGCGATGTGGGGGGGCTCCCACAGGCAGGGACATGACAGGACCCCTCCCCTCCAGTGCACATGAACTCACACAGTCTCCTGGGCAGCCAGAGACCCTGCCCCATAGATCTCCCCTCTGCTCTCTGCCTTTCTGGCTTTCTCCTGGGGTGCCATTGCCTGCTTAAACCCCCTCTTCCCCCTGCACTTGCTCTTGGCTGTACATGGTCCCATTCCAGCAGGCTGGGTCCTCATCCCTGAACTTCTCTGGTCACCTCCTTGCCCCCAGTGCCTGCCTTAGACTGGCAATGGTGGTTAATGCCTTGACTGCTCCTTGCTGTTTGGTGCCAGAACAAAGCAAAGCTGCAAGGGTGCCTGGAGGACCAGACTGCGGCCCCTTGGATTTGGGGAAAGGAAGCTGCCTTCCTGGCTCACATCAGGTACTTGACTATGGCAGGACAGGAGCCCAGAGATGGGGTGTGATCCTGCAGGATGCTGAGAAAAAGGGGTTGGTAGGACCTGAGGTCAGTCGGCCCCTCCCAGACCTGCCTGTGGATCAGGACAAGCAATCCTGCATGCTGTGTTCTCACCTGGGCTCTTTAGGAGCCATGTCTCATCATAGGGCCTCAGCTCCCAGTTGTCTGCTTTTCCAGCTGCCCATTTAATAGCTACAAGCAGAACCCAAAAGTCACCTTGGATGTGGGGGCAGGGCCAAACAGTGTAGGCTCACAGGGTTGGGCCCATGCTCTACCGCTGTGCGGACGTCTGCATGGAGCATGGGCGGTGCTCCTGGAGAGGTCACTGGCTTGTGGCTTACATGGGAAAGTGCGTGGGCAGCTTCTCCTTCCAGCTACGCCAGGTTGGGAGGAACGAAGGGTCACCTCTGGGACCATGGGCATCGCACCTAGCATGGGAGCCACTCAGGGAAACCTCCAGCCATTCACTTGGGAGCTGCTGAACTCAGGCTCAGGCTGAAGTGAAGTGCCGTTCTGGTCAGATGCAAGGGTGAGGCACTGGATGGCTCGGGGTGCTGGAGAAGGAGACATGGAGCTTTTAGCCTCCTGCAGACACTGGTTCCAGTCCATTTCCAGTTCAGGGGGACTGACTGGCAGAGACAGGGCCAGGAAAGTAGACTACGAGGCCTTTTCTTTCTAAGGGGAGTCGGTTCTGATGCAGTCTAGGACTCAGGCCTGTTCCAAGGATCAGACAGGCAGCCTAGGGCTAGTGGTACATAGCCCAGTGCACAAGCTGGTGCATGAACCCCAGGGTTCCCAGCCACTCCATTTCTCTCTCACCCCTCCCCATCCAAATCCTTTCTGATCCCTGGAGCATTTTTATATGGGACCTTTCATTTCTCCAGCCATAGCTGTGTGCTTGCAGATGGCATCATCTCTGCATGGCAGGCTGTGTCCTTAGGGGGCTGAATTTGTTTCCCAGCCAGCGTGAGATGCTCTTGCTGAGCCAGGCAGACAGCATAAGCCGGAAGGCCTGCACACATCCTCTGGGAGATGTGCCCCCCCCGCTTTCCATGTGGCCTGGTACTGTTCTCAACTATCGTGACTGCCAGGCTCCAGCAATCAGTCCTAACCAGATGAGAGCTCCTGGTCTGCTTCTTTCCCTTGGCAGCCAGGCTGCACAGAGGCTGGGAATCCCCTCCTTTGATGGGCTGCAGGGAGCTGGGCATGGAGGCAGGGCTTAGCTTGTATTTGGTTTTTGGGCCTGCTCCGAGTTAGGGGCTGTCTGCTTTGATCCTCACCCCCTCTGCTTCCCATCACATGCAATGCCTCTCAGCTTCTCTTGCAAGAGTGGGGGCCAGGTACGGCCACAAGCAAGCATTGTGGCAGGGAAGAGGCCATTGGGGGCTGGGTCTCTGAGAGCGGTGGGGTCATCGTATACATACTCCGACAGACAATGGCACATGGGCACACAGGCAGGCAGGCATGAACACACACTTACAGACATGCACTCATACTCACACAGAGATCATTATAGGTGCACACATGCAAGCATGCGTACCCCACGTATATACATGCTCACATATACCCATGTATGTAGTCACATGCATGCACATATGTGCATGCTCAAATACACACATGAATATAGGCAGAAGTGCACATTCACACACTCACATTTGTGTGCTCTCAGCCACACTCCCATATGTGTGCGTGTCTATATGCCTACACCTGTAACGAGTTGGCAGTGCTCACAGACACGCTTCCATCCCTGCATGCTTTCAGGCAGACGCCACCCCCCAGCGAAGACACCATCTCCTTCCCCATCTTGTTAGAGACAAGCTGACATTGGCCTGATGCACAGGCGGACTCTGCCAGGCTGACTCAGACGCAGAGCTGCCAATCCACACACGACCACGCAGAGCCACGCAAATGTACGACATGCGTGCAAGAGGGTGCTGGCGCGTGCGTCTGCCTGGCACTACGTGCATGTGTATGGAAGAGTGAATTTGCGGAGCTGTTGGATGTGCAAGTCACTGGCAGGCTGGAGGAACATACAGGCAGGCAGATGGGAAACAGGGTGTGTATGTGCAGGGAACTGACCCCCCGTGACTTGCTTTCTAGCCACTACCTGTTTGTAGAGAACTAAGCATGGAGCTGTGCCTCTGCCTACGGGCCCCCTGCCCCTCTGCTGCTGCCCTCTCCCTAGGCAGATCACCCCCACTTTTCCCCAGCTGAATCCCTTTCATGCATCCACCCCCTCCTCTTCCTCTGCTCCCCTCCCAGCCCCCAGCGTGTGGCTTGCAGGCAGGTCTCACCTGGATCGCATGCTTCTCTTGGAGGACTCATGCTTCAGAATAACATGCCAGGAAATAGATGTAGATGAGTCGCAGAGTAGGGGCCCTGTTCTCAGGCTCGCCAGTGGGTTTTAAGAGATGCTGCCTCTCACTTCTGTCTGTCCCAGCCAGTCACTTGGGCTCCTTGCAGGCTCAGTCTTCAGGTTATCACCCCGCTGGGCCAATGATGGGGAGCTCTTGAGAGGGTCCATAGTGAAGTAGCCTGAAGGTGTCTGCTCTTCGGGGCTGCTGGTTCTTTGGGCCCGTGTCACTGCCACCCTACAGCTCAGCGGGGACTTCCCTTTATCCCAGCTTCCCTGGGGATGCTGAGTCTTCCCACTCATTAACCCCCCCCCACTCCCTTGAAGAGCAGGAACGCATTAATAGCATGGAGAGCATCTCAGCTGGGTGGGACACTATCTGGGACCATCTTCTCCCTACCTTCCTGTACCTTGGTGTCCTTGACCCCTACCAGGGAGACCCTATGCTCTCTCCTGCCACCTCTCTGAGTGGGGCAGGGAGCACAGGAGATAGTCTCCTCTGTGCATGGCGCTGGTCCTGTTCACAAACCCTCCAGGTGCACCCAGCGCATAGACCTGATCCTATTGGATACAAGCTTGGAAAGCCCGTTGGTCCCAAGCTGCTGTCTGATGCCCTCCCTGCAGCAGTCTTGGAGCTGGACTGTTGGTGTTAGGGACTGCCTCTGTCCCTTTCTCCTGGCAGCAGATAAGGGGACTGGGAAGATCTCTCCCACCCGGAGGGAATGGCATGCTACTCCACTCCCATGGCTTCTCTGGGCCTATTTCCCCTCCCTCTCCCTCTCTGGGAAGGGCCCAGGCACCAAGGCCACAGGAGGGAATAGGTAGTAAATGATGGAAGTTATCTTTCTGCAGCTGGGTGGAGAGAAAATATGCCAGGATCATGGCTGGGGGCTTGGGGATGGAGAACCTAGAGGGCTCAGGGTCCCCCACCCTGTGCCTGCTGGGTCTAGGCAGAAGCACTGCTACAGGCAACTGCCTAGAAGGAGCTGTCCCTGCCTTCCCTGACTGCCACCTTCTCCAGAGTCCATTACGAGTTCCTAATTACCCACGTCCTCCCAGAGCACCCAGGCCACTCAGCCCTCTGGATCAGCCCTTAGAGAGGGGCCCTGGAGATGGGCCTGGAGATGTTCCTACCAGTTCCATGGCTTCCCAAGCATGCAGGCTTTGCAGCAGCCTTGGCACAGTCTGTCAGGGGGCTGCTGCTGATCTGTAATGCTGAAAGCTGTCCCGGAAACCCGGCTTGTGCCTTGATGTATTATTGTAATTACCAATAGGAATCTGGTCATTAAGCTGCCAAGCAGGGAGCTGAGTGGGGAGCTGGCTGGTGTTGTTCATCCCCTGCTGTGTCTTGTCCCTGGTGCATCATCACTACAGGTGCTGTTGGTCCCTGCTTTTGTTCTGCAGAAGCTGAAAATCCTCAGGAAGAGCCTGTTTGTGCGCAGGGAGCCCTGCAAGTGGCTGGGCTGGAGGGTGAGGGTGAATTGCTGACATACTCCAGCCTCATCCATCAGGTGTCAAAGCTCAGTGGCAAGTTACAGAAGCAGAAGGCAGCCTTCACATGGCTGCTCTGGCTCACACCTCAGGGACAAGGAGGGTTTAGTGCCAAGAGAGGTGGACCCATGCCTGTAATGTCTCCTGGGGCACGGGGGAGGGTTCCCCCTGCATGGCAGTAGCTTTCCAAGAGTACACAGCAGACAGGAACCCCCAGCTCCCTCCTTCCTGGGTCTGCGATGCACTGGTGTCACCCCTCCGCTGCACCTTTGGTTTCTGAGCGAATGCAGTCAAATTCCAGAAAGAAAAGGTAAGATCGTAATTCCGTGTTGAGACCGTCAGGGCTTGGACCACAGGGCTCTGCTGCCTTTGGGCTTTGCCGGACAGGAACAAAATCTGTAGCAAATTTTTGTTGTGTTGGGATCCTTGTGGCCTGGTTGCACCTGGTAGCCGTGCCTTTTGCACAGACTCGTTACCCCAGTACTGCACCCTGAACCCAGCCTCTGCCTCCCCACCACCTGCCTGCCAGGAGAAGGTTGCTACTCTTCCTCCTCTCCTTGCTCTGTGAAGCTCAAGCTCCCCACCTCTTTCTTCCACATGTCAGCTACACAACAATGGGAGTGTCAGAGAAGACGGAGCTGACAGAGTCTGGATCTGACATTTTCCGCTGGGCCTTCGGGGCTCCTTTGGCCTCTGGGTCTGGCGTGCTGCTGGGTTTGAACTTGCCATTCTGGCCTGGTGCGTTTCCAGAAGCTGCGTGGTGACTGAAGCCATCCTTGGGGACAGCAGCCTCGGCGTTGTGGTTGGGCGTGGTGCTGAGCATGGAGGAGTTGATGCTGTCCTCGTGCTGGGCTGCCTGCTTCTCGCTGTTGCGGCACCAGCAGCGGCATGGGGTCAGGTACAGGTAGATGAGCACCAGGATGACGCTGAGAATACAGCCCACCAGCGTGGTGTAGGCTGTGTTCAGCGTGTCGTGGGACCCGTGCTGGGTGAAGTTGTGGACTTTCACATCCACATAGAGGGTCTCGTTGAAGACCTGACTCACCGCATAGCAGGTGTACGTGCCCATATCCTCCACCCGGATGGGGCGGATCTGCAGGCTGCCGTTACTCAGCACCGTCATGGTGCTGTTGTCATCCTCTTCTGCAACAGGCTCATTGTTTGGGGTGAGCCATTCCCTGGTGGTCACCCCCCGTAGCTTGGTGTCACAGTTGAGGGTCACAGTGTCCCCCAGGAAGGCCTCTAGCACATACTCCTTAAACTTACTGCAGTTGAGGAAGTCCTGGTTGTTGAGGCTGAAGATGCTGACACTTTTCTTGGACGGGAGTAAGACACAGGTGAGGTCTGCCTGGAAGTCCACCACTGAGCTCAGCTGGCGCACGTGCCAATGTGTGAAGAGCTCATAGAGCTGGCAGTCACAGCTGAGGGGGTTGCTGTGAAGGTAGAGGCCATTCTTGATCCAGGCAGGGAGGGCTTTTAGGTCCCCAATTGGCAGGCTCTTAATTTTGTTGGAGGAAATGTCCAGCAGGCTCAGCTCAGGCAGCTTGGCCCTGTCTTTTACCAGCTCCAGGGGGAAGCGGGAGATCTGGTTCTGGCTTAGATAGAGTTTTTGGAGCTTATCCATTTCATCAAAAGCGCTGCGGTCCATTTGGGAGATCTGGTTGTTGTAAAGCAGCAGGACCTCCAGCTCCCGCAGCTCACTGAAGAGGTTTTCCTCCAGGTGCTTGATGTTGTTGGAAGAGAGGTCAAGGTACTTCAGGTGAAGGACATGGGAGAAGGCCTCAACGGAGATGAAATTGAGACTGTTGTGGCTGAGCAGCAAGGAGTGGAGGTGGGAGAGGCGGTGGAGGGTCCAGTCCGCATGCAAGCGGCTCAGGTTGTTGTGGCTGAGGTCCAGGAGGGCCGTGAACTGGGGGAGGTTAGTGGGGATGATTGTCATGGCGATCTTGGAGCAGCTGATGATGTTGCTGGCACACACGCATTTTGACGGGCAGTTCAGTACGGACCCACCATCCCGGGCGACGCCAAAACCCAGCAGCAGCAGGACCAGGAGCCAAGAGCTCCCGCAGCGCAGCTCCAGGTGTTGACGAAGCGCTAGGACATAGCGAAACCACATTGTAGAGCTCAGAAGGGGAAGGTCACGTCCCAGTCATAGAGAGCCGCGCTGCTGGGAAACATTTGTGCCGCGGAAGGAGCTCTGGCTGGCAGACGGCTGGTGTCCGCGGTGCTGTGAATCCGTGGCTGCTAGGAGATGGTGCAGTGAGCAGGCAAGGCTTGGCATGCTGCCTGATGTATTAATCACTGGAGTCATGCTTGCATCCACCTGCTATTTGCCATCCGTTTCCCTGCTACGGATCACACGGCTTGCAATGGGAATCAAAGCTCCGGGGGGGATGAATCGTCCCAGGCAGGCCATGCCCGGCAGGGCTTTTCAAGTGCCGCTTTGCAGAGTCCAGGTCCCTTGGCCCCCACCCCCGCCACGGCTCAGCTGCTTGGCTGCCGGGACCCGCAGCTTGTTACTCTGTGTTGCATTGCACCAAGAACCACACGGAGCAGGCAGCTCTCATGCACCGGGCCAGGCAGATGGGGACGGTGAGCAAGTTCCACCTGCTGACAGAGCTGGCGCCGTACTCTCAGCCCATCCTTGCCTCTCAGCGCATCCTGCAGGCACTCCGGCCTGCCGTTCCCTTGGCTGACAGAGCCACGCGAGGGAGGCTTACCATGCCTCTTTTCAAGGGCAGCCGCCAGGCGGGACAGCAGGAAGAGGAGGGGGTAGCAAAGACTGGGCACCCGGTGCTCGCCCCCTTCCCCAGGGTCCTGTGTTTGCTGGGGACCCGCGGCGCCCAGCCTCGCTCCCCTCGTACCGTCACGCGTCTTCACCACCTGGGCTGAGCCCCCGAGAAGCTGTTGGGCGCCAGGGTCCTTCCTCTGCACCGCTCAAGGGGCTCCGTGATCTTGCCTTGTCCGTCTCAGCTGGGGGGCAGGCCAGGGAGCTGTGGGCAGGGCCTGGCAGGGAGGAATCCTGCCCCCCAGCTGTAGGGGCGGCGAGAAGCGAGGCTGGCACGGCAGAGCCCAGCACCCCTGCAGCATCTACCGCAGCGTGAGGGGCTCCCCGGTTCTCCGGCGAGATGGCAGCGAGGGGAGGTTGCGGTGGCAGGCAGCAGGCGGGGGAAGCCCGGGGTGGTGCGATGCTCTCCCTGCCTGCGGCGGGGGCTCGGGGGGAGGGGGGCAGGCAGCACTGCAGCGCCAGCTCCAGCTCTTCTGAATGGGAATCCGCTCCGGCTCTGTTATGATTATGATTGTGATGCTCGCTGGGGAGGCGGGGAAAGCACCAAGCCCTAGCATCCCCCAGCCTAGCACGGCCTGCTATTGGCTGCATCCCGGCCCCATCAGCCCAATGAGCGGGGCCCGGCTTTAACCTGTCCTGTGCTGGTGTCCAAAAAAACATCCTCAGCATCTTTAGAAGAAGGTGGGGGGGGAAAAAAATCAGCTCAGGTGCTGCAGAGCCACTGGGGAGAGCAGGTGGGGGTGAGATCCTGCCAGCCCGGAGCCCCTGTGAGAGCTGATCAGGTTCAGGCCCAGGCACAGCTGCCATCAGGAAAAGCATCTGGAGGGGAAGGAAAAGCTCAGCCCTGCCCACCTGGCTGCGGTGATGCCCACTGGGAACAGGCAGTGTTGCGCCAAGGGGACGTGTTTGCAGATCCAGGCTCTGCTGCCCGAGCCAGACCCTCTGCTGCTTCTTATGGTGCCCCAGCAGGTTGGCAGCGCGGCCAGGAGCCAGCACCATAATACCTGGAGACCAGAGTGACTGGCGTGAAGGCCCGGGGCAGAACAGGCAGGGGGAAGGGAGGTGTGAGCAGGGACGGGGTGGTTGGGGCCCCATCCCCAAGGGGTGGAAAATCAGCTAGTGGAAAATCTGCACAGGAAAAAGGAAACCCTGTTCCTCCTTGATGGAGATGGTGTGAGCACAACATGCCTGTTTCCATCAACGGATGCAGGTTTCAGGTGAAGCTGAAACATTCCCCGCATGTTAAACCCCAACTGTTCCCATTTAAAATCAGCATTCTTCTGTTTTAAACCCGAACGCTGTTGGTTTTTGGGGATAAAAATGAGACATTTCAAAGAAAAAAAATTTGTGTTTTTCTCAAACTGTTGAGTTTTGCTCAAACATTCCCCCCCCCCATGAGAAAAATCCTCCTTTCCCAAGTAGCGTTGGGGCTAAAGCTAAAGGGTGAGGCCGGGTCACTAATACTTGGGCTCTAACCATCTCATTACCCTAAGCTAGGGTGAAATGTGGGCATTAGAGGCTTCATTCCCACTCTAGCACACTTGGACAGCAAGGCCTCCCTCCCAGGGGTTACAGAGATCTTTCCAAATCAAGTGGCCCCTGAAGTGCCTGCACACTCACAAAAGATATAGCCCTCTAAAAATGTTTTCACCAATTCTTTGAAGCATCAGGTGAGTGCAGCTGCTCTGTGAATGGAAGAAAAGCAGGTGGATCACTGGTCTGTCCCTTTATAGCAGGAGAGTGGCATAAAAAAAAGCATCTAAATGTTTGATAATTGCTGGTCGCAGCTTTTAAAATGTACTTGGGCTTGCCCTTGGGTTCTCTCGAGTATCTCCGTGGCAGTCTCCTGCTCCTGGGAAATACCTCTAACCTTTTTGCTTTTGCATTGTATGCACTTTGCTATTTTTCAAACAAACTGGAGGACAGATAGCTATAAAAAATTAATTTTTCCTCCCCACCACTCAAAAGTCAGCCCTGGAAACTGCTGTTTTTTGTTTCATCTTAGCTGTAGTTTTCGAAGTTACTTTTAACTGAGACAGCAAGGAAATTGCTAACAATCATAAATTATTAGTGCCTTTCAATTTGCATGTCACTTATGGGACTGGTTCTTCCCCCCACTGCAATTTCTCAAACACAGCATTCATCCTCTCTGCTCAGCAGAAATTGCTCAGGAAGGGGCACGACAAATAATGTGCTGGAATGAGTTGATGAAAATATGCCAGGCCAAAAATATTGCAGTGGCTGTGGTGTCAATCCTAAGTAATCCTATTGATTTCAGTGAGCAGGAGAGAGCAGTATTTGGCCCACTTGATGTAAATGGATCAAAAGCAGAACAATATGAAGAGCTGTGCAAGGTGCCGGGATGATCAAAACAGTTTGGAGAACGCAAGAGCTGATCCAAATGCAGCCTGAGCCAAACCTATCTTTGAAGTGCTGAAAAATATTGCTGGCTTTGTTCTAGTATTCTTGGGTGCATGAGGATTTGCACGTGAAACTGGGCTGCTCATAGTCCAGTACGGGGGTAGGCAGCCCCCGGCATGGGTGTCAGAACGTGGCATGTGAAGGTATTTTGCTTGGCACGGTGCGCCTTGGGGCAGGTGGCAGGTAAAGGGCTGGGGCTGCACTGCCAAAACAAGAATCGGGTCCCTTGCAGCTACCCTGCCACCCACCCCTGGTATGCCAACACCTTACAAGTCGAGGTTGTGGGTGTTTATGGCACTCTGCCCAAAAACAGTGCCAACCCGTGGTCCAGTATCTAGTCTCCTGCAGGACTGAGTTGGGTCACTGTTTGGTCTAGTCCAGTATCCCATGTTCTACTGGACTGAATATAATCCACTGAGTCCAGATCAAAAAATAATGGGTTTAAATAGCAAAAAAGGAAAAAAAAAGGAAACTTAGGTTGGAGGACAGACTTTCAAACTATGCAGGTGGGTAAGCTGTGGAACATCTGTCACTGGAAGTTTTTAAGTGTAGGTTAGACAGACATTTATTTGGGATAAATTAGACAGGGATGATCCTGCTTTAGCGGGGGATTAGATCAATGATACATTTACACCTCTCTGCACTTCCTGGACGTGGCCAGGAGCAGAAGGGCTGAGATACCACCCACTACGAGGATAACCCTTTGGAAACACCCGGTTCTTCTTCATCGACGTACAGCACTGAGGTGTACTACTAATGTTTCAGAGGTGCTATAAGATTATATAGTGACTTGCGCTTGTGCACGCTTGAAGGAGAAGCGAATTGTAGAGAGTGGCTCAAATTTCTGTTCTTGGGCCAGGAGTCTTTTGAGCCAGATATTTATTACCTTAATAAAGTAAGTGTTCTTGTTCCAATTCTAATTAGTGTTCTTGTTCTAATTAGCATTAATTATTTGTATTCCAGTGCTACTTAGATACCCCAGTTGAGATGAGGGCCTCATTTTCTCAGGTTCTGTAAAACCCATAGTAAGAGATAGTCCTTCCCCTGAAGAGCTAATAGTCTTGGTTGAGAAAACCGACAAAGGAATATTTATCTCCATTTTACCAATAGGAAACCAAGGCAGAGGAAAATGAAATAAGACAAGGTCACACAGGACAAAGCCAGGTACTGTGTCCAGAGTCCCAGATATCATCACAAGATCACACTTTCTTTCTAATAGGATCCGAGTATAAACAAGGGCCTGTTTTAATTAATACCTGAAAATATGTCTGCAGGTGCACACAGAAGTGTTGTCTATGTATTAAAAGGGAACTGAATAATTCCTTTGCAAACCAAGCTTTTAGATGTTCACCGAGAAAGTTTCTGCCCTGGGAAATTCATTCAGAGCTGGTAATAACATGGGTGACTATTGCATGCCCACCTTTCTCTGTAGGACTCACAGGAGACAGCAAGGTGTCTTGACTTCCTACTAGGGAACAGACAAATCTGTCCAGATCAGATAAAAACCAGCTCAACCTCAAAACCAAAGCGTGCATCAACATATGCATTAACTCACTTTAGTTAATGTGCATTAAATCTAGTGCCTCCAGGCACTTTTGCATGTGCTGCTCTGAGGGGAGTTGGGGAGGTGGCGCTTTAATTAGAGCAACACTGAGAACTGCTCTACTTAAAATGCCACCATGTCTTGTATAACAGTGTCCCCGCACTTAAAAATAGTGGCGGGGGGCTTGAACTAAAGTTTGTTTGATGAGTAATTACCATTCTTCAGCAGGCCAAGGGCATACTACATGGCTCCCAACCATCCCTACACCGTGTCCTATGCCTTGCAGATGGCATCCAAGATCACTTCCAACTCTCCTGACCCCTTGGCTGAGCCGCATTCAGCCTCTGACCCAAGCTTGCCCAAAGGTGTCCTCAGACATGGCTTGGCTTCTCTGCCTCTCTCAATGGGGCCACGCACACTCTGCCCTACTCTGTATGGTGCTTCAGGCCCCCTTAGCCCTATTCCATACAGCACTTCAGGCCTCCTCTCTCTCACACATGGTCTTGATCCCTCACAGACCTTCAGGCCACCCAATTCAGGCCCTATTCTACAATGGGCGTTCGGCCTACTGCTTCACATGCTGGGCTGACTCCAGCCTCTGGCCTTCTCTGGCCTCGGGCATCTCACACTCAGCTTATGGCCCACTCAGGTGTCTGTTGACATACCTGGACCCCTAACGTAGCCTATGACCCACTCTATGGGCCTGGACCCTGCCTCAGGCCCCACTCAGTGGACCTGGGTCCTTTGCTTTTCTGTTGGGGTATGCTCCCCTAGACTTTCCTCTCCACAGGCTACCCACAAGGCAGCGGGGGCTGAGACTTTACGGTGCCCCATACTCACCGTTCACTAGGGAGGCAGGCACAGGTGTAGCATTTCCTGGAGACTGCCCCACCACACCATCCTCCCCAGCAGGGTGTAGTTTCAGGTCATGTCCCAGGATCAGGAACTTCCTCCATCCCCATAGTTCCTACCTTGACCTCCAGGTGTTCTGGGAGCAGCAGGCTGAGTGATGTTGTTCCTCTGGCTCCCTAGATGTAATTGCCGGCTCAGCTCCCAGAACATTTGTACACATGCTTGCGCCACTTTTCGAAGCGCCAGGCGCTGCGCCGCATGCAGTTGTATAAGCGGCAAAATGTGCATTAGCGCTGAGAAAACGGCAGCAGCGTGCTTTTGAACGGAAACACCTCGAAGGTGTTTCAATTCGAATGTGTACCACCACCGTTTTCTGCACGCGGATACGCATTTAGCCACTTATACAACTGCATGCCACGCAGCACAGTGCACGTCAGCTCACGTCTGACCCACCAGCTCTCTCTGGTGCATTGTGGGACGAAAGGATACATGTATAAATGCCCCTAGAGCCTGGGCTTATACTGAGGCTGCCCAGCCCTCGTTCAATCTGGTGGCCCCCTTTTTGGTCATGTGACCATCTAATTAGGCCAAACTGCACCTGCCGAGCTACTCCACCACCTGCTCAAGCCCCTTAAAGTAGTGAGCACCGAAGGTGCCACGCCACAACCTCAAGGCGGGCATTCGGAAAT